CATGTGCCGAACACCTAATGCTCGACCTCGCGGCCTTATGGCCGGGTCATGCATCTTTCGACCCACTTAATGCCCGACCTCATGGCCTCATGGCCTGGTCGTGCATCTTTCGATCGGAGCATCGACGTTATGATGGCCTACCCGATCAGGTTTACTCGACCTTCTGGCCTTGTCGATTTTTTGAAAACTAGTAAGCCTCTTCGATCGGGGTGTTCCCGAGCGACGGACCTACAGCACTTCCTTCATCCTAGCCCCCACACTATTGTGCGCTCGAGGCACAAGTGGGTGCAATAGTGGAAAGAAATTGGACGGATCGGGAATTATGCTGGAGCTCTGGCTTTCCCGATCGGTGGCGTGACCCAGATGTCCGCCGAAGAGGAGCGCATTTGACCGGTCGATGGATTCGCCCGGTCGAGATAACGTGGTGATGACTTAACCTGCGTTTAACGAAGGTAAGGAAAAAACCGTCGGGCCGCCGTGTGCAAACGGTCGAGCAATCACCGATCGTGTATACATTAAATTTTCCCGCTCGCAGGCGGTTAAGAAAATATTTACAACAATAATTTTCAAACAAACGACGAACGGAACCGACTCGTAGGTCGAACCCCCACTTCGTCTAAAATTACAAAAAATAGGCTAATGCCTAAACATAACGAAGTGCTCGGAATTCCAAGTCCCCTCGATCATCCGACCGGTTGTTGTCTCCAGTCGGTATGTTCCCGGCCGCACCACAGCGCTGATGATGTACGGCCCTTCCCAATTCTGAGCTAGCTTCCCGCCTTCCAAAGGTTGACTGTCCCCCCGTCGACGTAGAACGTAATCTCCCACCTGAAAATATCGAGGGTTGACCCGAACGTCCTTTGAACTCTTGACTCTCTTCTGATACCCGGCCATACGCCGAGCGGCTAGCTCTCTTTTTTCCTTGACCCCATTGAGATCCACGACCATTGAGTGTTCATTTTCCTCTGCATTGTAGGTTCGCTCACGGTCGGTCGGGATCCATGCCTCGATCGGGAGTTGGACTTCAGCCTCGTAGACAAGGGCGAATGGAGTCTCCAAAGTTGCTTCTCTCGGGGTCGTCCGATAAGTCCACAAAACATATGGCAACTCATCGGCCCAACTACGACCAGCTGCGTGTAGCTTCTTTTTCAGACCCGGTAGAATAGTCCGATTGGCGTTCTCCACTTGTCCATTTCCCTGTGGGTAAGCCACCGACGACCGGACGTGGGTCGTCCCGATCGTGGCCAGGAAATTCTGGAAGAATTAGCTTACAAATTGGCGGCCGTTGTCGCTGATGAGGTGCACGGGCACACCGAAGCGGGAAATAACATTGCGCCATAAAAACCGAGCACATTGTTGAGATGTGATCGTAGCCAAGGGCTCGGCCTCGATCCATTTTGAGAAGTAATCGATGGCGACAATAACGAACTTTCTTCGGCCGGAAAGCTGAGGGAAGGGTCCCAAAATGTCCACCCCCCCCCCCCCCCCACCTTGCGAAGGGAATTGCAGTCGTGACCGGTTGGTAGAAGGTGGCCGGTCGTCCAGGCATCTGGACAAACAATTGGCACGTCTCAGATTCCCGAGCGAGCTTCTCACAATCCAGCTGGAGGAACGGCCAATAATACCCGATCAGCATGATTCGACGAGCTAAGGATCGGTCTCCTTGATGTGACAAACAGATGCCCGAATGCAATTCCTTCATGACAAGATCGGCCTCAAATGCAGTCAAGCAACGCATAAGAGGGCCTCCGTACGATCGCCTGTAGAGACGACCATCCAGGACTTGGAACCTCGGGGCTCTAAGCTTGGCCTTCCGAGCACGCTGAGGGTCGTCTGGGAGTCGACCGTGCTCAAGGAACTCCTTCAGATCGGTGATCCAATTGTCTTCTGCCGGTTGGATAGGATTGACCGGCAACCGGTGGATACTGTGTCTTGGGATCACCAAAATCCGAGCGATCTTCGACATATGTTCTGGGGCGTCTTGGGCCAATTTGGACAAGATGTCCGCATCGGCATTATCCAATCGGGGTATGTGCCAGACGGTATACCCCCGGAACTGGGCAAGCTTCTCCATGGCTAGGTCTCGATATAACTACAGTCGTTCTCCATTCACTTCATAATCACCGAGGACCTGCCCGACCACGAGCGCGGAATCCGTTTGAGCCCGAATATATTCAGCCCCCAAGTCCCGAGCACACTGTAAGCCGTTGACAAAGGCTTCGTACTCGACTTCATAATTGGTCGGATGGAACTGGTACATAAGGGCGAAATAGACTTTAAATCCCTCCGAGCTCGTGACTACCACTCCTCCTCCTGCCCCTTTCTTGCTGCTCGACCCATCAGTAGCCAAAGACCACCACTCAGCATCAGGGTCCGCGACCTCGGGGGGTCGGGTATCCCGAGCGGTGCACTCGACCAAGAAATCTGCAAGGGCTTGACTTTTAATGGCTGGTCTTGGTCGGTATTCGATTGCATACTAGGTCAGCATTAACGCCCACTTGACTAGGCAACCGGATGATGAAGCAGTTTGGAGGACTGGCCCGATCGGCTGATCAGTCAAAACGCGAATTGCTCGACCCTGAAAGTAGGGAGCTAACTTCTTCGCGGCAATGTATAAGGCATAGACGACCTTCTCTAGCCGGGAATACCGGAGCTCGGGACCATGTAGCGCGTGGCTTACATAGTACACCGGTCGCTGGACTCCTTCCGGATCGGTTCGACACAATACTGCGCTTACTGCTCAATCGGATACGGCGAGGTACACGTCTAGCTCTTCCCCGAGCTCTGGCTTCGGCAGCACGATTGGTGATATGAGATACTCCTTTAACTCGTCGAAAGCCGCTCGGCACTCGTCATCCCAGACAAACCCATTGACTTTACGCAATACCTTGAAGAAAGGTAAAGCGTGCTCGGCTAATTTGGAGAGGAACCGGCTGAGAGCTGCCAACCGACCGGTCAATTGCTGGACTTCCCGAACGGTTGAAGGTGGTTGCATGTCCAAAATTGCCTTAACTTTGGCCGGGTTGGGCTCGATTCCCCTCTTGGTCATCATGTAGCCGAGGAACTTCCCGGTCTGAACCGCAAATGTGCACTTTGTTGGGTTCAGCTTCAACTGGTACTTCCTCATGATCTGGAAGCACTCCCGGAGATCCCGAGTGTGGTCGAATCGGTCCCGACTCTTGACCAGCATATCATCAATATACGCCTCCATCGTTCGGCCTAGTAGATCGGCGAAGAGCATGTTGACAATCCCCGACCGCAGCCTTCCACTTGACAAGGAAATCGGTCAAGCTCTCCCCTTCGAGCTGCTTGGCCTTCTCCAAATACATATAGGGCTTCCTCACCACCTTGGAGGTGATGAACTTTCTCACGAACTTGATCGCCAGGGTATTAAAATCAGCTATTGACCTTGGCTGCAACGTCCAAAACCATTCCGCCGCCCGACCGGTGAGCGTGGAATAGAAAGCCCTGCACATCACGGCGCCTGTCACGCCCTTCATCATCATGTTGCAGTAGTAATCATTGACATGGACCTCAGGGTCCGTACGGCCATCATAACTTTTCTCCCCCGAAACTTTTAAATCGAGCGGGTATGGCTGGGCCATTATCTCCGCTGTAAAGGGTGTCCGCAGTAAGGACGACTGGTCGATCGGGGGTGTCACGAGATGCTCGTTCCAGAAACGAGCGAATTCCGCCTGGAGGTTATAGAGCAATCCCCGGGTCTCGTTGAGCTCGGCCGTCTGGGCGGCTTGGGCTGACTCCCGAGCGCGTCGTCGACGGTGTGATCTTGACCCGCTATGCCCGGATGAGGCCTCCTGGCTGGCTTCCTGCATCTGCACGTCTCCCGGTTGCCGGCTCGGGTCTTGGGGTCCCAATCGTTGTCGCATTGCCGGTCGAAGGCGCTGAAAAGCCGCTGCCCGGTTGATCTCCTCGGGGTCCTCCGCTTGGGCCGAAACCTCTGGTTGTACGTCCGGGGCCTGCCGTGGTACCTTCATCGCATCAGCACCCCCCGACCCCAACCGCGAACAAGCCGAGCGTCGAGCCCGGGAAGTGGGCTGATGCTGCGGCTCGACCTGGGCAGTCGGGTATACTGGAGGGGCGGCGGCTGGAGCCGTGTACGCAGGCGTGTATGGGGGATAGCCGACTGGTGCTGTATAATACATCGGCTGGACGGGCCAATACCCGTATGGAGGAGGCAGGACCGGGTAAGGGTATTGCCAGGGGGGTTGCTGACCGGGTGTTTGGTATACCGGTTGCTGCGGACCGGGTGTCGGATATCCCGGCTGGATGTAATTCACCGGTTGTTGAGGGGCCGGATATGTAGTAGACGGATGTGGTGGTGAAAGCTTGAGATTGAGGTCCATTGTCTGACCTTGTTGCAGGCTCGGCTGGTGATCGGATGAACTGGCCGCATCCGCTTGATAGTCGCCGGAGAGATTGTACGCCCACGGGTACATGATTGATAAGAAGGACGGGTGCTCGTCAAGACGTCTGTTTTCGTGCACGGGTCCCCATAGACGGTGCCAAAATGATAGTACTAATTGCCACGTAATGCGGTAATTAAATAAACACAGGACCAAATAAAGCAATTAAATGTCTTTTATTGATCGAGGTGAAGGCCCTAAGTACAATCTAAATGGTTGCTCTGAGTACCGACTGACTGCGGTCGGGATTCTCTAACAACAACCTATCGATCGTCCAAAAGTCCCTCACACTGTCGCTATCGCGGGTATTTATAGCCGCGGGAGCCGGAGACACAAATCCAGCCGTCTGGCATGCCTCCCACGTAGCAACCACGTGTCGCCTTCCCGGGCATGTCAACGCGTAGAGTCGCTACGTGTTTCTCACCAGCTCTCTCGCTTAAGGGGTACCGCTCAGTGGTCGGCAACGCCAATCGGGCACTACCCGGTCGGGACCGACCGGGTTCTTCACAAGAAACCCGACCTGCAACCTGCAAAGACAAGAAGAAAAGGACAAAGGCATGTCGGTCGGGGTATTCCCTACCAGACGTTATTATCAACTGTAAATCTATTAACAGATAATAACGGAACAGACAACTCAGGGACATGTAATATTTTAGAAAGATGCAAGTGTTTAGAAACTGAGGGTATTGAAGCATAACCAATTCGCGAGATACCCAAACCTGTCCCATTTCCAACGCGTAGAACGTCAGTGCCCGAGTAGTCATCGGATTGAGCCAACATGCCGGCGTCCGGTGTGGCGTGGGATGAAGCCCTGGTATCCGGGTACCACGCCGAGACTTCAGTGGCGGCAGCATCTCCGTTCACGGCGACATGAGCCTGTGGTGGTGGCGGCGGATCGGAGTAGCGGCGGAAACAGTACACCGCCGTATGGCCGTGCGAACGGCAAATCTGGCAATGGGGTGTTCCACCGCCACGACCTCTGCCCGGAACGCCTCTGCCACGATGTCCGCCACGGTTGCCGCCCCGATTGTGTCTACTGCCGTGATCAGCATTATTCCGGCGACCCCGGTTTACCACCATCGCAGTCGCACCACTAGGAGTCAGCGACCCGCCGGTCAGATAGTCATCCGCATGGATGAACTCTTGCGCCTGGAGGTAATCTGAGAGCTGGGGAAGAGACACGGGCGTGCCGGTGATGGCGAGAGTGCCGGCCATGGCACGGAACTCAGGCTGGAGCCCTCGGAAGACGTACAGATTCTGTTCGTCTAACGAGATGGGGCAGCAAGCTTGAGCTAGATCTTCGACAATCAGCTGGGCCTTGCCAATGTATTCGGCCGGAGTGGAGTCGCCTTGCCGGAGTGCCTGGAGCCGGCCGAGCACGTTCAAACAGCGAGCACGGGTGGAGGAAGCCAACGCTGTCTCGATTGACGTCTAAACATCGCGGGAGGTGGTCTTGCCGACGGCAAGGTACATAACCTCCTCTGACAAGGACGATATGAGAAGGGAGAGGATGTTTTGATCCTGTTGGATCCACTGCCCATGCGCCGGATTAACAGTGGTGGAGGTGGCCACGTCGGACGGCGTCCCGGTCGTGGAAGCCATGCGCACCGACGGTGGACACGGATGCGTACCGTCGACGTAGCCAAGCAGTCCCTGGCCACGAGGAAGGGGATGAGTTGCGTCCGCCAAAATAAATAGTTTCGTGTCGTCAATTTGATCGACAAGAAATGGTGAGCGGAAGTGAGATGGTTGGGACCGGCGGCCGGAGGTTGGCCGGCGGCGGTAGCGAACACAGTGTGTTCCGAGGAATTGTTTACGTTTGTTGCCATCAGAGAGAGAAAAAAAGAAGAAGGACCTATCGCTGTGATACCATATGAGATAATGATTCTGTTGATTGAACTAACTGGACGATCAAGTTACAATACAGATAATAAGAGAAGACCTATAATCTAGGCTAAGGAACAGATAACTAACTTTTTTTAAAAAACCAATATGGTTGTATTTATATATGAATCGAAATAGAGTCAGGTGGGATCCCATCCCAGTACATCGCTATAGAATAATTAAAGGCATCTGATGCTAAGTCATGTGCCATAACATTCTGTGTTCTAGGAATAAATATAACTGAAATGAAATTAAAAGTAGCTATAAGATTCCTGCACTCATAAAGGACATAGCCAAGATAAGATCGAGGTTGGATAGACGATTCAAGATAGGTTCGCAAAGTCTGACAATCCGTGTAAATTTGAACCAATTGTTCACCACGTTGTTTGAGCCACGATAATGCTTCCTTACATGCTAGGGCCTCGGCCATAAGGGGTGAGAAACAAGCTTGTGGTGGCACACAGTAAGCCGATACATAACTTCCAATATGGTCTAGTAATAGGACGCTGGCTGTGGCTATCTTCATATCGGCATTGTATCCTGCGTCTACATAACATTGCTTCGGGTACGTGGGGTGTTCCTGGGCCGTGGACGGTGGTGGCAGCGTCCCTGCCAGAACAGCCGAAGGTCCCAAAACAGGCAGTGGGGCGGTGATGGTCTCGGCCAGCAATGCAGTGGGTTGGTGGGTTAATCGCCGGGTGGTGACATCGCGTATCGCTAGCCATGCATTCATCATGTTTAGAGTTGTTAACACAACTCTTTTCGGCAACTGTAGACATGCATCCCATACCGCTCCGTTTTGGGCTCTCCAAATATTGTATAGAATTCCAGCTGCAAATAACATCTCATTAGAATTTAGAACATTCAAGATTGTCCTAAACCATTCATGAAAAATATTTGTGGTAACATGGGGTAATGGAAGGCCAAATTGGGTCCAAATGGACTTTGCATAATCACACAAGACTAATGAGTGCATAACATCTTCATTGGTTAATCCATACATGGCACATATCGGATCAACATCCACTCTCTTTATAAGCAAGTTGTTGGTTGTAATACTCCTCCAACAATAGCTAGGATTATTTCCTAGGCATGCTTCGTTAAAGGGACGGTCATGAAAATACCTGGCTTTATAAATGCGGGCCACCAAGGAGTCAGGATTGGTAAGAAACTTCCATGCTTGTTTTCCTAGCATAGCCAAATTAAATGCTCTTAAATCCTTAAACCCCAAACCTCCATATTTCTTTGGGATACATAGCTTATCCCAAGATTTCCAATGAATACCACAGCCCGTCCCAGAGCCCCACCAATATCGGTTCATTGTGCGTTCAATAGCTGAGCAAACAGATACCGGCAACAAAAATACACTCATTGAAAAGGTAGGCATTGCCTGAGCTACACTTTTCAATAGAATTTCTTTCCCAGCTTGCATTAGGAGCTTCTTATTCCATGAGCCAATTCTCTGTTTGATTTTGTCTTCAATATAGGCAAATGTTATTTTCTTATTTTTCCCCACAAAGGCTGGTAATCCCAAATATTTTCCAAAATTCGGAGCCTGAACCACCCCAAGGGTATGTGCCACCATATCCCTGTCAGTCCCACTAGTATTCTTACTTTAACAAATACTAGATTTCTGATAGTTGACCATTTGCCCAGATAAACTCTCATAAAGAGTCAAAATATTCTTAATCTCGGTAGCTTCCTGCACATTTGCCTTAAAAAATAGTAAACTGTCATCAGCAAAAAACAAATGGGAGACCGGGGGCGCAGCTCGTGCCACTCTACATCCATGAATTAAACCATTAGCATGTGCTTGCTGTAATAATAGAGAAAGGCCTTCTGCACAAATAATAAATAGATACGGGGATAAAGGATCTCCCTGTCTGAGACCACGAGTGGGCAATATTGCCTCCGTATGAGACCCATTGACTAGAAACCTGTAGGAGACTGTGGTAACACACAACATGATCAAATCCACCCACCTATCATCAAATCCTAAGGCTTTAAGCATCCCCTTCAAAAAAGGCCATTCCATACGATCATATGCCTTAGCCATATCCAGTTTAAGAGCCCCCCATCCACCAATACCACACTGTTTTCTATTCAAAAAATGTCCCACCTCAGCCGCTACTAAAATATTATCAGTAATTAGCCGATTAGGGATAAAAGCACTCTGTGTGTCCGAAATAATACCTTCCATTAGGGGTTTCATTCTCTGCGTAATCATCTTGGCCATCACTCTGTAAACAACGTTACTTAGGGCTATTGGTCGTAGATCAGATACTAACTCTGGGGCATCCTTTTTTGGAATTAACACAACATTCGTTTCATTCAATGCAGGGGGGATAGTACGCCTATTCAAACAATCAACAATATAAGCTGCCATGTCACCTCCCACAACATCCCAGAAATGCTGATAGAAACCTGGATTCATTCCATCCGGGCCTGGTGCTTTATCTGGGAACATTGCAAATAATGCAGCCCTAACCTCATCAATCACAAATGGTTGCAGCAGTGTTTCATTCTGTTCATGCGTGACTTTCGGCACTACTCTCTCAAACAGATTATGGCCAGACACAGGATTACTAGAACTAAACACACTGGCAAAATAATCCATAACCACATTCTTCATATCATTCCCCTCGACCCAATCCCCGGAATTATTCATAATGCGAGATATTGAATTTTTCTTTTTTCGGTGAGAGGCATACCTGTGATAGAATTTAGTATTGGCATCCGCATTCTTGAGTCAATGCTGTTTTGCTCGTTGTTTCCAATATGCATCTTCCTGTGCCTCCATATTACTCAATTCCACCTCCAAGCGCTGGAATTCAGTTAATGAGTCTGTATCCATTCGTCCCCTGAGCCGCAATTGATCCCTCCGGAGCTTTTTAATTCGCTCACCAAATTTATGATACCGGTCTCCCCCCCCCCCCCCCCCCCCCCCACTTAGCCAAACGATTACCACAATGTGTAATACAATCCTGTAAATCATTCCCCCTCTTCTCATTCCATGACTCCTCCACCACAGGCCTGCACCCCTCATCATACAACCATGCCATCTCAAATCTGAATTGTCGTCTGTGCGTCCCCCCACTTCCTATTGGGTCATGAATACCTAGGAAGATGGCGGAATGGTCTGATTGTCTCATCAACAGATTTGTCACATTTGCTCGTGGGACTACATCATTCCACACATTCGTGGCCAGCACCTTATCCAGTTTCTCTTCTATCCATCTTGCCGTGCCCTTACCCTTCTCCCATGTAAACTGATATCCACTCATCGGCAACTGTGCTAATCCACAATAGTCCAGAACCTCTCCAAACCCACGCAGAAGATAATTCGGATGTGGATTACCCCCCCTCTTCTCGTACTGGAATAGAAGCTCATTAAAGTCTCCAATCATAACCCATGGAAGATTTGATTGCGACTTTAAGGATTTAATGAGATTCCATGCCTCGTTGCGCCTATTTCTCTCTGGATAGCCATAGTAACAAGTCATTCTCCAGTGTGGAAAACCAACCATACTAATTTCCATATCAACATAATTCTTCGAGTAAGTTATCAGTCTTGCTGTGTTATTTCTCCGCCACAATAATGCCATGCCACCGCTTAGACCACGTTCACCCCCCGGATCAACATAAAACAATCCCTCAAACCCTAGTTTTATTCGAACACGTTCCGCATGATCCCTCCGTACTTTGGTCTCCATCAAAAATACAAAATCAGGCTTCTTCCGGGACACTACGTCCTCAAGTTCACGAACTGTCTGTGGATTGCCCAAGCCACAACAGTTCCAGCTTAGTGTACTCATTGGGTCGGGCGGGTCTGGGAACCAAGACCCGCCATCTGCAAGTTTTTTGACACGTTATCATGCACCCCCTCCTCACTCACTGGTATAGTAGCCCCGCTCACATCGTCATTTACCGTAACAGCACGGCGTCTTTTAGATGAAGCCACCACATCCTCATCTACCTCATCCCCACTCACTACCATATGCACATCCGCCATCCCCCCCACACCCGACAAACCCGCACTCGGCTGTACTTTCGGCGGCAATGGTGTGTCACCCACCGGCGGCAATAGCCAAGATGCTCCAACCGGCCTCGGCCCCTTGGCCCTTCCTGCTCTCATCCAGGCTCCATACGGATAAAGTTCTGGCTTGATCCCGGAAACCCTAGCTTTCACACAGAATTTGTCAAGGTGCTCTAACTTTCCACAGCAGTAACAAAAATTATGCAGGCGCTCATACTTAAAATTGACCCATCCCCAGGTTTTATCCCGGCGTATTAACTTTATTCTACGTTTTAGCGGTTGGTCCACTGGCACTGCAACCCGCACACGGTAAAACGTTTTCCATGGTCCTCCAACCTGACGATCATCAGTTTTAATAAAAGTACCAACATAATTACCAACCTGCTCCAGAATCACATTGGACGTATATCCCATAGGCAAGTCATAGACTTGCAACCACATATCCACCGTATCAAGCTTGACTTCCCCTGGCAATGACCCATCACACACCTGCCGGCAGACCAACGTGTGATTCTCAAACGACCATGGCCCATCTTGAAGCACCCTGAGCATGTCCGTCTCGTGATAAAAAGCAAACAGAAACAAATTCGCATGTAGCTCCGTTACCCGTAGTCCCATCACAGGCTGCCATGCCGAGGCTAAGACCTGCCGCATGTATTCAACCTTGATCATCTTCCTCGTG